GACAGTCATGTTTACCAATTGCCTCCCAGCAGTGGGAAGAGAGGCTGCAGGAACAACAGAGAACCATCCAGGACAAAAAGCGAACAGCCGGGCGCACCAGTCGTAGTCATCCCCCGAAACCAAAGGGAAAGTCACCTGCTCCCAAGCCAGCCAGCCCCAAGAAGAACATTAAAGCGAGGAGTGCCCCAAAGAGAACAAACTCGAAAAGAGTGTGAGCTAACTGCTTTCCAAAACGGAGACTTCCTCTCAGGATGAGGCCAGGCGTTGCCCAGACGGCCCATGGAAGGCCACACACCCCTTGTCTTAACAACTAAGGTACTCTTCATAGACACATCTTGCAGCATTTTTCTTAATGATATGCTTCAGTTTTTCTTTTTACACCACTACAAGCGTAGTGGTAGGTATGCCCATTGGTATGGAAGGTATATGAAAGCTGGTCCAAAAAAAAACCTTGTTGTGTTCAGAATAGACTGTGTGCATATTCTATGAGAGGTCCAGGTAGGGAAATACACTTTTGTTCTTTCAATTTGATCTACTGTGTGCATTGTAAAATAAATACCACATTGCAAAAAAAAGAAAGCATCTATTTTTTTTTACAATATGTTTTATTTCAGTTTGACTTCTGTTGTTAGAATCTTAGCAATTTAAAAAAAAATGTGATTGAAAGTAAAAGCAAGAGGAATGGATGTTTAAAAGATCTTTATTGTTTGTGGAAGAATTTTTGTAATGAAAGGGGATTTTTAAACAATCTAGAAAAGTAGGATATGGAACATTGTAATGAGTATTTGTGTGTGTGTATTGTTTCCTTTTTTTTTACAAAGAAGCCTTTCTGCTCTGTGTTTAGCTATAAACTCTAGAAAATAAAATGATGATGATGATGAATAAATAAAAAGGAAAGGCAGGCAAACAACATCTGGGTCCTTGTTTTCTGGTTCCCATGCCATGGTATGGGGGGCGGGGGGGGGGGGGCTCTGATTTTACATTCATGCTTCTCATCAGTACCCTTTAAGTGTCACCAGAAACAGACTTTCTTTCAGCTATTATGACTGAGGTACCAGCTAGTCGACCCCAAATATCTTACCTGTGGGTGTGGTACTTGTCTCACTCCCAGGACATCCTAGATTTCCTGAGGCCAACTCTCTCTGCTGGTTGCAGGTGTTTACAAGGGCCTTGGACCTGAGGTGGGAGGGTCAGGATCCAAAACCTCAGGTTGCCAGCCTGCTATGAGACCGCTGCCACACACCAACTGTGCACCTGGAAAAGGTCACTTGTCCATCCACTACTCAGGAACGTAAAACAACAACCTGAAAGGTTAAGAGTTAAATCTCCTCTAAAGGATGTACCATGGTCCCTGGTTTTCAGAAAAGGGATAAGGTACACGTGGCATTCACACAATATAATTAAACAAATTGTTTTATTTCATACCTATAGCCATGGGGACACAGAAGTGAGCTGTGTGGGTAAGCCAGGGGAGAGTGGAAGAATAGGACAGGCACTCATCTCCCCCTGAAAGCTTGACTTTGCCTGCACTGCTACCCCAGGGCAACAGAATGAAAGGAATCCAATAGATTGACCCACAAAAGGGTAGTGTTTTTGCTGTACAAAAGCCAAATCTCATCGGCCCTTAAGGAAGCCAGGTTGGTGTTTAGCATAGCATCCAAACTAAAGAAACCTAGGAAAAGCCATTAAAAGGCATTGCTAGCCTACTTCACCTTCTTAGCATAGTAGGAATTCTTTGGGGAAGGGGACTTAGAAATGAAACTCCATGGGGGAGGAGATAAAATGCTTATGTAAGACCTTTTTTTTGTTGTTGTTGTTAAGTGCAAAAGAAAGTAAAGAGTTTGGAGATGACTTTACAAATTTAAATACTGCTTACTTTGAATATTTAAATGATGTATTGATTATCACACAAAAATTTAACCAGGCACATTTATCAGTTTGATTAATCGATAAAAGGTTAACAAGGTGGCCATTTGTATATTATTTTGAAAAAGTTGAAAATGAACATTAGCTCACAATATGACAAATATGGAATTGGCCTTTGTGTGAGAGTCAAAAGTTTATTTTTCTCACCTAAATATTTCTCCACCTAAATACATGTGAGAGGAGGTAAATATAAATACATGGAGAGGAAAGCTGAGGTTCTAGCTCTGAAATGGAAATTATGAGAGTTGGGTTACTTTAATTTAAAAATAACGTATTTTACTATAGGTTTATCAACACATTTTGTAATTGAAGACAACTGGAGGCACTTTTAAAATAATTTTGTTCGTCTTTCAATAATATGGTAAATGTGTGTTTTCTATAAAGCATTCAATAAATACATAAAATAAAATAAAAGTAATTGAATTAAAATCCTACATAATCCCGTTCACCACAATTCAGAGGTATTCACTATTAGTATTTTGGTATATAATTTTCCAGGTGTTTCCTATGCATATTATGATTTGGAAAAAAAATAAAACTAGGAGCCTATAACGCATACTGTTTCATAACCTGCCTTCTTCACTCATAGTTCTTATTAAGCTGATGCCACCTCCTTCATAATGACTGTGGTATATTCCATGGTGTGTATCACTCAACAAGTCCTTATGTTATTGGGGACTAGCTAGTTTCTTAACAGAACACACTGAATAGACAAACATCTTGATAGCTAGTACCTGTGCCCATCCTTAAGTAGTTTTTGGAGATGTTCATCTAGGTAGCATTGCTAGGCTGAGGAGTATGACCACAAGGAAAGTTCCAGATCATGTTATTAAATTTCCTCCAGCATGCTTGGACCATAGATGTATCAAAGTGCTGACTTTCCAACTCCTCACTGAGTTTGTTTCCTCCTTCCCATAGTTTTTATAAATTTAGCTGGGAACTGGATGTCATCTATGGTGAAGCTCCTCTCTTCATCTGTGAGCCACTCCCAACCTCCAGGCAGCTGGGAAATGAATGACTGACCACCTTGAAGTGGGTATAGTAGGTAGGTAGGTAGGTAGGTAGGTAGGTAGATAGATAGATGATAGGTAGATAAGATAGAGTTCTCAACTTCGGGGGAAAACCTATGCAACTATCTCAATTTTTTAAATGAATCCAATTTAATATAATTTATCAGCTAGAGAAACCAAAGAATTAGGATTTAACAGAAATGCCAATAGATTTTTTTTCTCTTTCCAGCTTTCTTATAAGATATATGAGAACTTAAATAAATAACCTTAGTTTCTTATTTTCCAGTTCTAAACCAATGCAGTATGACCACCCTTTTGGTTTCTGGCCTTGGATGCTTAGAAGATTGTCCACGGCAAACTTAGAGTAAAATTCTTTTACTTGAGCTAGCTCAAGGGTACTCCTGCTTGGTGGAACCAGTTCCTGAATAAAAAATAAATAAAAATTTACCACAAGTCTCTACCTGCTGTTATCACCAATTCAGAAAGAAAAATGGTTATTTGGGAGCATGGAATGAAAAAGTCGAATGGGACGTTATAGGTCATCATCTAGCTTGTTGATGTCAGGGCTTGATTGATGTCACACATGTAGCTAGAGAAAGATCTTGGGCCCCAGAGTTACTCAACTTTACTTTAGCTGACCAAAGTGTAGTTGTTTTTCAGTAACATAAAACCGTGCTACTAGAGGGAATACTCATCTATCACGAAAGAAACAACAAGAGAACAATTTTCTGCTTCAGGTTATAATATGTGCTAATACTGACCATATTTCCTAACAGAAAATACTTTTTGAAAAAAGCATTTTATACTGCGAGATATGTTATACTGACAGACATGCCAAAAATTTTAGTTTATTGTTACCTTTGTGACTTAACTAATAAGCAAGCAGTATTGTGTTCTCAGATCAAGTACCTGGATAGGGATCTGTGTTAACATCAGTACTCCCCTCCCCAACCCCAGGAAATTCTTGACACTATGATGGCAAAGAAACATCCCCCTTTTATTATTCAAACAAAAGAGATAAACAAAAAGAAAAACAAAAGCACCCCAAATATCAAAAGAGCTGCCCCAAATGTCAAATTAGCATTTTATATGAATCCTTTCATACGTTCTCCCTGTTTGCATATATGGATTTAATAATGACACATAAATATTTTTTCCCTGTAAGAAATGCAATGGAATCTTCATTTTTCACAGCTGCAAAACATAAATGTATGAGAGTTTGTTTTGCCAATAACTTGTGAGAATAGACCTTTAAATGTGGTTCCCAGGCATGCTAGGATAGGACAACGTTTTGTGACAATATTTTTTCTACTGTTATTGAATTCTCAGGACCAGAAAAAAAATGGGGCATGGATAGGTTTTTTGGTATTTTTTCTAATAAACATGTTGCTTTTACAATTAGAAGATACTACAAAAATGAGAGAGATGAATTTAAGCTACACAGACATGAAAACTGTTTCATTGATTATGTGTTTGTTAATCTGTGTCATCAGAGAAGCAGACACCAAGAGGGAATTAAACTAAATGTGAAAGGATTTTATTAGAGAAAACACCTGAGAGAGAGAATAGGCAGGAGCTGAATTGGAAAGAGGAAAGGAAGCACTTGAGATTGCCTTGATGTTAAAGACGGTTTGGCAAGTCTATTGGGAACATCAGGGAGTCCCTCATCTCCTGGGATGGCTCTGCCTTTGTATCCTACTGCTCTGTCATTGGGAGCAGCCCAGGGACAGTCTGGTCTTGATGCAACGGTAGCAATAGATTTCAGACTGTGGTGTCCAGATACTTGGATAATTATGGCCCCTGTGGTTGGAGTCTAGACTCACATCCTCATGGCCATCACAGTATGACAGTGATAAAAATATTGAGATTTTGCCACTACATTTTCAGCAAAATCTATAAAGTGGTGGTGCCAGGCAACAAAATGCCTCTGTCGACTTTTGTAATTGTCATCAATACACTATTTGAATCCCTAAACCTCAAAAACTTTTATGTCTCTTATATTTTATTTCAAATTTATTGAAGAGAAAATGTGTTGAGTATGACTACAGATTTTACGTATTTATCCTATCCAAGAAAGGTCTCTTTATACTAGAATGCAAAAACAAAAAAAAACACCACAAACATTTTAGAGGTATTTAATGGCAATAAGAAATGCTATGATGTGTAATTTTGCCTTTACCTGTTCGGATAGCATAAGCCTAATATACCTAGCTGCAATATTTGTAAGAGAACAGTTTTATAATTCAATAATGCTAACATGAGTAGCTGCAACATCTAGATGAGGACCATTTTATAATTAGAAGTTTGGATCACATTAGTGATATACTTTGAGAGGGAAAAAGATCATACTTTATTGACAATAAAATTTAGCTGACAGCAGACTCACAACCAGAGGGCTGAAACCAAATCTCACAAACTTGTAATAACATGAATAATACAATACAATATAAAGAACTGACATTAAGCAGAACATGGTATTATGAATAAAATTCCATGACGGTACTGAGAAATATCTAAAATGCTACTGTTGAACCATACAGATGGATTTTTTTCAAGTTCATTAACATGTTTAGTCCTCTAAAAATTTCAAATATTTATTACGTCATTGAAATATTTTAGCAGCTGAAAAACATGTGGAAAATGGCCCAGTAAAATTTATTTCTTTATTAAAAGCATTTAAATAACTGGCTTGGGAGGTTCGTCCAAAGTAGCCTCCAAGGGTGAACAAGTTCAGACGCAGGTCAGGCAAGCATCCGAATCAGGAGGTCTTTCCAGTGAAGAGAAAGGGCACCAAGAGAGCCCAAGAGGAGGACCATCAGATAGAGCATAGCCCGTTTTAGGAAATGATTCCATTTTCTACAGAGCATCTGCTTACAGGGAACAGGATCCAGGGAGGGGATGTTATTAGGATCAAATCAGGAACGCTTCAGGCGCCCTACCTTGGAAAGACACCAGAGGGGCTTAGTAGGGCTCTCAAAGAAACTGGTTTCAGAGTCAAGGTGCATGTCTAAGCCTGTACTACACAATGGGGACTGTTCTGTATGGTGAACTTCATGAAGACACAGCTCTGCTTGGCTGTTGAGATAGAGGTGCTTCCCTGACAGGCATACCATTGGCCTACCTCCTGAGCCAGTCCTTGTATTGGGAACCCATCTCCTCACTATCATGTGTTACTCATCATTCTTACAAAACTCATCTCAGAGCTCTCATGTGTGCCCACCAATACTGCAGTCTCCAATTGCCTCATTGACAGTAGTCCAAAACACATGTGTGGTTTTTCTGCCTGAAGTCCAGCTGAGAATCAAAATCAGCCCCTTTAGCTGGAGCCCTGACAATTTCTAGCCTTTTCTAACCTTTCTCCCAGGGCCAAGAAGATATTCCCAGGTATGATTAATCCCAGCCCCCATGTGCCTGCCTCATGCTGTGGTGTCCCACCCACTAAATTCAATACCCTCAAGACCAACATCAACAAAAACTGAAGTGTAATTGACTATATCTCTTTGATCATTATTAGATTTCTGACTAGTTACCTCAAGACTAATTCTATAATCTAAAAGAAATAACCTTTCTCAATATCTTGCTTATAAAATCTTTGTACAGACCGTACACATATATAGACAACTGAGTGAAGCCTGCCATCTGCTGGTGAGGTACATTATTAATTTTTAGAGAGCTTATTGTTTTAATGCTTTTGAAGTTCTAGACCATCTAATAACAATGCACCAATTCACACAACTATATTATGGATACCCAAACACTCTCAAGCATGTATACAGTAGATAAAAGTATTTGATTTGAAGGAGAGCAGAATGTGAAGGAAGTGAGAAAGGTGAAGATTTACACGATGCTTATTCCTCTGCGTAATCCAAAGAAAGCTGATAATTTATTTACCCTAGTTTTTTAAAAAATGCATTCTGAAGAAAATGCAATTTTAAAAATTTGAGAAACATCCTTACTGATAATTCAAATGTGACTAGATTTTGTACATCTTACAACACAATGTATTTCCAAAATTTTTCATCACCCTATTCAGAAACTCTTTACCAATTAAGCAATAATTCCCAATTTCTCCCTCCCTCCCACATCTACTTCCCTTTAGTATACTTCCTGTCCCTATGAATTTGCCTATTCTAGGTACCTCGTACGAAGGGAATCATATAATGTTTGTCCTTTTGTGTCTAGATTATTTCATTTAGCATAATATTTCAAGGTCCATTCATTTTGTAGCATGTATCAATACTTTATTCATTTTTATGGCTAAATAATAATCCATTGTATTTATATACCATTTTTGTTCATCCATTCTTCTGTTGATGAACACTGGGGTGGTCTCTACCTTTTGGCTATTATGAATAATGCTGCTGTGAACATTGGTGTACATGTTTACATCCCTGTTTTCAATGTTCCTTGTGTCATCCTTCAGGTAGCCTCCAGACAGGTTAGAACAGAAAAACACAATAACCCTATATAATAAAAGCCTAATATGCAAATCAAACAAATGGCAGAATGACCTGTGGAACGACCGGTCACAATGGTGCACACTGACCACCAGAGGGCAGACACTCAACACAGGGGCTGTCCCCAGCCCGCAGGCCTCAGGCCAGCCAAGGCGTCCTGATCACCCCGAAGATCGGCCCCGATCGCTGGCCAGGCCTAGGGACCCTACCCCTGCATGAATTTCATGCACTGGGCCTCTAGTTAGTTAATAATATCTGCTCTATTCTCTTTGGCACCAAAGACCGGAGTCCCATGCTGAGAACACAGGCTGTAACCTTCAAGAACGTGATCAATTTGGGGAAGTGATGAGGCAAGTAAAAATGTCACAAAGCTTTCATACCGTTTTTTAGTTGCCCCTTTATCGCTTCAGTACTCATTTGGTTACCGTAAACCTTTGATTATTTTCCAGAGCTCTGATAAAGTTTGTCCTGACAGATTCTGCTTATGTTTTCAATGTCCCCAAGGAGGGATGGGAGTTTATAGCTGCCTACTCTACCATTTTGCTGATGTCATTTCAATGGAGCCTTCTTAGCTCTGCTACACTGAGAGCCTGACTTATTCTCAATCCAGATGCCTACTTCCCCACATGAGCAAAACAGAACTCATGGCATTTCCTTCTTTTTCTCTTCTGGGTCCCCTGTCTTGGAATGGTTGGAGCATCTCGTCAGTTACTCAAGCCAGGAAGCATTGTCTTTTCCCATTTATTTGATAGAGTGGTGATCAATCATAAGTCCTGTGGATGCAATGCAGCCTTTTAAGGATTCTCTAATCATTCCACTTATCACTAACTCACAATTTCTACAGATTGCTGTTGTCTTCCACATTGATTACTGCATGCCTCCTGCCTGGGTGGTTTGTATCTCGTTCTCCCTCGCCATCTCCTATATGCATCTGCTCAAAGCACTCCAATTTTTTTTTTATCTCCTGCTTTTAGAGTCCTGAGCTCCTTTAGAACAAGGACTGTGTGTACTCAGCCCTGCGACAGTGTCCAGCATATAGCATGAGCTGAATAAAAGAGCCTTGCATGTCTGAAACAGTCCCACAATTCTATCCCTTAGAATGATATGATTTAGTATAGTAGGCATAGTAAAAGCAGCCATCAAAATGTCCTTATATGTGTATAAATATCAAGATATACCTACTTAGAAACTTTTAAAACTAAATTCGCTTTCTTGCTTCATTACTTTCGATTTTGAAAATCGTACCCTTTATTCAAGATCTATTTCATCTCTTACCTTCTCAAGCTCCTACCCATCAAAATACACACCTGTCAGTCAATTCAGCACTGTATTATACACTAATTTGAAGTCCCTGATACTATTCATAATGCTCACCTTATCAAAAAAAAAAGGGGGGGAGGAATGTGCAAATGTTAGAATAGATCTATACCAGGTTGCTATTAGATGCTATAAACAGAATGTGGTTGCACTAACCTCATCAACACAAATTATTCATCACTGTCATGCTTAATAATGTACTTACTGTCTTATGGTGGTTATGGTTAGATAGTTTTTGTGAGTTTTGTCTCCCCATTACATTTGCATCTCCCTGAACGTATCAACTTTCATTCAACCAGTGCTTTACTAAACAAAAACCCACAGTTCAAGCAGATATACAATACATATTTTCCCAACATAAATGTTTATAGGTTGTACAATCATGCTTTAGTCTAGCTATAATAATAAAAGCATAATATGCTAATTAGACCGGACATCCTTCCAGACTTCCTCCTGGACGTCCTTCCAGATGACCTTCCAGACAAAGCTGCCACACTGGGGGCCAAGGCAGAGGCAGCCGCTGCTGTGGTGGGGGCTGAGCCCCTTGCATGAATTTCGTGCATCGGGCCTCTAGTAATTAAATAAGACTTATGGGATGAGTAGTAGTATGCCAGAATCTACTTTTATTTTTGCATTTAATGTTTTGATATAATGTTCTTACATCTAGAGAAAGCCTAGACTAAATGACACTATTAAGGGAACGATGTACTCTTCTTTCCCTCGGGAACTTGAATGGGTATGGAGGGATTGCTCCGTTTCACAATGCTTTCTCATTATGTGGACGGATTCTCAATTTGGCTCATCCAGCTGAAGACAACACTGCACATGTGAAGAGTCTTTGAAAATAAAGAAGGCAAGTAAGTTTGATGGCAAAAGTCACCTATCTTACACTCCACTTCCCACAATGCCCAGGATAGAAACGTTTTCAAGTTTTCCATCAACAACTAAGCAGTTTCAATCCACATGCTCCCCAAATAAGTTGCTCTTTGCCAAGGAATAGAAATGACTGCCTTTTGCTTTATGGTTTCTAATATCCTATCATATTATCATATGTCACCCACAGATAGTTAGTAGGTTCCAAGTTTCCAAATACTCAATGAATAGAGTTGAGGCTGCTTTATGAGACCTTGGCAATTCAAAGAGGAGAAATGGAGGGGAGTCAAGGAGAGGGACTTCATGAGACTGTCCTGAGAGATGGCACAAATAGTTCAGTACCAAGGCTTGCAACCCAAAGGATATCTGTTTACTCCACTATGTCCCAGGTGCCTGCACAAGGTTTGGCTTTGAGGCTTCAAGGTTGCTATGGAGCACTGTAATATGTCTGGCAGGAAATAGTTTAAGTCAGAAACATAGGGAATGTTCTGATCGGAACAACCTTGTCCTAGACCCAGTCACTGTAACAGCCCAAGAAAAGGAAATAACAGTTATTAGAGAGGTACTGTACTTTAGTTTTCCTCAGGATTCTCGGGATTCTCAGGATCAACCTCTTCAAATATATTATTAATTGATTGCATTGCCTCAGTGGCATTAGATGATCCATGGACAGCATTTCTCAAAAGATCTATTCCAAATTGGGCTCGGAGAGAGTTTGGGGACAAGAACTTTGCTTCACTTGGGTCTGTGGGACCCATCAATCGTCTCCAGTCTGCAATAGCATTCCACTTGCTCAGAATCATGACCAAAGATGGACCCCTGCAAATAACAGTGCTTTCAGAAGACTTGGGCCACTTACAACTGTATAGATTGCCTACATGGCTACAGACAGAACGCCACAGCTTCATCCAAAGAGCTTTTCTTTGTTCTTTGTACTTATTAGTGTGAGTTAATGCTTTCTTTTTTGTTTCATTTATCCCTCTTCCAACAGGCATAGGAAAACAATGCTGTAGTTTATATCTGTAGATATATTCCAGGCACTGTTCCAAGTACTTTCAATGTATCAATTATTTAGCCCTCACAACAAACCTATAGGTTAGGTCAGTGATGGCGAACCTATGACATGCGAACTCATTTTGGGAGACACACATCGACAGAGACAAAAAATTGCATAATTCAATGAGTTGGGCATCACTCGAGTAATATTATTACTCACGTTACTCATGATCAATAATGCAATTCTAAAACCGGATGTAAACATGTACATCAGTGCGGTGTTGCGTAGCAAAGATACATAGTGAAAACATCCAAGATACATTGTTCCAATATTGACGTTAATATAAAAAGGTTAAGAATTGCACTATAAAGAGATTAATCTTTACTCATGACATTTTATTTTTACTCGAGTGACAAAATACCCAGTTCTGGAAACGGCCTCGTTATTGTGAACACGTGCCTTGGATAAGCTTCCCATGTGTTCGGGTGCATTCAGCAAATGGATGCACTTGATCGTCATGTTCGTTAGGAGACAGGAGTGGGAGGGTTAGAAGAAAAAGATATACATTCAGTGCAACAGTGCTCGACGAGACATTCTGCGTGTCGGATAATTGATTACAGCACCATATATTTGTTGGTTATACATACTATCTTTGAATTGTTTTGCACCAGGAGTCAGTGCAACAACACTGCAAAAAGTTAATAGGTAAGAAACCTATCAACCTTTTATAAAAAACGCCGTGATTTATATTTATTTATTTTTGCAGTCTTGTGATGGAGAATCAAAAAAAATAAAAAAGCAAGATTGAATGATAAAGGAAGTGGAAGTAGCAGTAGCCGA